GGAGGTAGGTAATGAAGATAACCAAACAGCCAACCAGCTAACAGCAACAACGATAGCCAGCAATAATCACTGTCAAAAGGAGTTGACTTCCTTCACTTATCTAAGCAGCCAACATTGTTTCAATCACAGCCAGGAGAACTCATGAAGATATCAACACAAGCCAGCCAGAATCCGAAAGGAAAGGTACACCTTTATCAACCTGAAACCAGTTTAGAAATCTTCTGCACCAAGTCACTCAGCCAGCATAAAGAACAAGAAGATTCGGATTCTGTTCAACAGAAATATGAAATCAGTCGGACACCTGGCAGGCGTGTCACAAAAAAGGGTTTCCAACAAGTTACAGACTTTTATCAACAGCGCTGCCAACTTCGCTGGATCCATATTCAAGATCAAATGGCTAGTCAGCCGGCTAGCCAACCAGCCAGAAAGAATTAGCAACAAGAAACTCCTTTGGCTGGGAACGAACCAACAGGCTCTCTCTCTCTACTTCGGCTATCTCCTACGGAAGGATGTGCCGGCTTCATGAACATCTCGAATCATCGCTGCCCAGGCGCGGCGATCTGATGAAGAGAGTTCATGAAGTTTCATGGGAATTTGGTACGAGTGATGTCCCCAGAATCGCTCGGCCTTTTGTTTGAGAGTGCAGCTCTAGCCTTTACACAACCAAGTGTGACCTACAAGGCAGTAGGAGTGGAGTAGGGAGTCCACTATCCATTGGCAGCCGGTGACCGGAGTTCGGTTCATACGCCTTTTTGAATGGGGCCAGACATCCAGGAAATCCAACAAGCACTTTGTCCATACGTCTGCCGGTGAGCTCCAGTGAGCTTCATACGCCAGTCCTTGGAGGTTTGGAATCAGGGTTTAGCCATCTCCCCTAGACTGCCATCCAATGAACAGTCAACCCGGTGAAGAGCGCCGGGCATCCGCTTTCGCCCTCTCACTTTGTTGAGAAACACCTCCGCCACGTGAAGGCAGTGAGTAGGACTTCCTCAGGAGAGGCTATGTAAGACGCCCGGTCATATGGGAGCATTTCAAGAGGTGTGCGGAGGGGTGGCCAACCCGCAGCGCAAGGCACCCACCCCCGACCATTCTGAGGCTTTAGAGGCAACAGGAGAGATCCGATTGCTCAACAAAGATGTAGGAGAAAATGGAGATGGATCGGGCTTGCATTGAAGAGGCAGTCGAATGACATCACGCTAAATGCATGCAGGCCATGGCTTGAGTGGAATCCCAATGGGAAGCGACAAGTGGGTTTTTATTGCAAGGGTGACATGGAGGAGATTGTGTAGCGAGGAGCAGATGAGAGATTAATGGATAAGAGGAGAGCAGAGAATAGAATAAAGTGGAGATGTGTTGTTGAAGCCCTCTATATGTTCCACTCAGAACCTAAGCGAGTAATAGTAATAATAATAATAACACAAGAAGATCACTCTTCGAGATTTACATTGAATTTCAATAATACGGGAAACTGACATCTAAAAAAAATGTCATTTCAATTAAACTTCATCAATCTAAGAGTAAATAGATGTGTACTTACTTGATTGTAAACTTCTTAGCTTATTATTCAAATAACAGATTTTTAATTCACACAAGAACTAGGTCGTGATTTACAAGGACAATAATGATGTTAGTTCCCACTGTGATGGTCAACTAATAGGATGAGAAATAGGGGAGATAGAACGCAGACAATCATGGTCAAAGATAACTAGCTGGCCTTTTCACGTCTTCTACTTTCAATGGCTGTCATGTTTCACTCATAGCCATAAAAGAGGACAGAGCGAAATGCTGCTCTGACCAGTACACACGCCTTTTAGGGCTTTAAATATACCGTACTACTACATTAATATATATGTGTAAAATTTGAGCACTGTGGTAGTAAGTAATTCCATATTGGTTTGTGTATTAGGTGTATCACACACAGTCAGTGAGACAGTATTATGATTAACTGGATGACACAGTTTCGAACACAATTCATTATTGTTCACTATCATTTCATCACTTGTAATCACACACGACTTCGAAACTTGAGTTTTATAGTTTTCTTTATTCTCTCCTATTTGTCGTCGTTGGGGTAGTAGAATTTTCCAGATATCTGAGTGGACAGGTGTTGAATCATTCCTATTACACGTATTCACTCTCAGTTGATTCGATAAACAAAGCTTCTGTTATCAATCTCTCCCTCCACCTTGTTAGTTGCATTGGATTTCAAAACTGTCATCTTATCCCATCCATCCTATTGTATAGTTGTGTGTAATTGCATGTAGTGAGTGCTATAACTGCTGAACTATTTATTTTGTAGATTTCAAGTTGGTCAGCTCTTATATACGGATAAGAAACTTGCACTGCGTGTCATGAAAAGGATTTTCATCAACAGATGCCCACTTCACTGACTCCATCCATACTGAAGAACAAATGGCCGGCCAATCGGCCAGTTAGAAAGAATTAGCAACAAGAAACTCCTTTGGCTGGGAACAAACCAACTAGCAAGAGCCGGTCGCTCAACAAATATGTAGGAGAAAATAGAGATGGATGGGAGGCCATCGCTCGATTGGAATGCCAATGGGAAACAACGTGTGGATCATCAATGTGAGGGTGACATGGAGGAGATAGTGTGTTGAGGAGGAGGAGGAGATGGGAGATTACCGTCAACCGTGGAGCCAGGTGAAGAGGACAGCAGAAAATAGAATAAAGTAGAGATGTGTTGTAGAAGTCCAGTAGGTTACACTTAGAACCCAAGGGAGAAATAGTAACAAAAAGAAATCACTCTTTGACGTCAAGCTGACGCCTAGCTGGTAGTAAGCACGGTAAAGAGGGAAGTTTGGAGGGCATGAGGCTAGCAACTACACTAACCAACAGTCTTCAGCTATTCATTCTTACAGGATTTTCATCATGAGCTGACATTAGTTAGAGAACCATTGGAAAACCTGGGAGTACTGCCAGACAGTTGTTTCGTCCAAGTTTGGGACTCTTCATCAGTTCGCACCACCGGGATTCGAGCCCAGGACCTTCTGGTTACAAGGCGAGCTCGTATACCATTAAGCCACTGGGACCCGATCCAATGGTCCATGAATTCTAACTTCTGCCAATTCACGACATAGCGCGACCCCTAGCATCATGAGGTCCTTAGTCAGGCAGTCTACACCCCTTTACCTGGTTGGCTTAAAGCAACTGGCAAAGACTACAGGGATCGATTTTATATTTCGGTTTGACTACCTTTTAATTCTTTTCCAACGTAATTTAATGTCAGCTAGCATTGCTCATCAAAAAAGGCAATGGCTCGGCATGTGCAACACCTGTCCGCAGTTAGTTCTTTTTTAATTGCTTCTAAGGCTGCCATATTGATTGGTATATTAGTATAAAGACTAGTTATATATCAAAACTAACCATTGTTTCATCATTCTCCTCTAGTTGAATGTCATTTAGTTTATTTTTCATCTCGTATGAATTAGTTAGTCTAGAGTGCTCTTGATACATTCACCTAATCCTACTCCAAAAATATGGTGGAGATATGTGGATGACACTTTCACAGTGTTAAAAACAGAACATATCTATCTCTAGCTTCTTGACACACATAAACTCACTAGTGGAGGGAATAAAATTCACATTTGAATCGGAAAATGAACAAGGAGAATTAGTCACGATGTTAGATTGTAAAATAAAACGAATAGAAGAAGGTAAACTGCACACTAGTGTTTATGAAAACCAACGCACTCTAATAGACATTTAGACTTTAATTCATCTCACCCGTTGTCTGTAAAAGCTAGCTTAGTTAAGTGTCTACCAAACCGAGCAATAGCACTAAGTAGTACAACAAAAAAGACATAAATGATGAAATAAAACAGATAGAAGAAGAAGCGTTGGAATCAAATAACTATCCTATAAAATTCACTAGGAAGACCGAAAGCAAAATAAAATTAATGGTGAAACTAATAATGATAACATAAATAAGAAAGAATATAAGGCATCCACTGTTATACCATATAAAGAGGGGACATCTGAGACCCTCCCTACGTGGGATTCTTAATAAAGCAGGAATAAGGGTGGCATTCAAACCTACAAACTCACTCAGGTAGGACAAGCTCTGTAGGTTAAAGGACCCTGTAGACTGACCCAATTAAACAAAATAATATAATTTACAAAATACCCTGCAATAACTGTGAGTTAGGTGAACTACATAGGTCAAACCAGTAGGTCGGGGATAGTCAGATTGTCAGAACATAAGAATTTAGTTAAGGGAAGAATGATTGATCCCAAGAAGATAAGTAATTTAGAAGACAGCTCAGCACTACATTGCACCACATGCATTAACACACAACCACACAATAAGGTGGGAGAGGGTTAAAATTCTAAAAAGTAATCTATGTAGGTGGAGAGGGAGAGAGAGATTGATTACTGAATCCTGGTTCATCGAGTCTACAACACCCAACACATGCAACAGAAATGACTCAATGCAAATACCAGAGATATGCATAGAAGATATTATTACCACCAGTCAGTCAAATCAGAGGAGGATAATAAATAATCTTAAATTGTATTCTATTTCAATTCAATTCACATACATCACAACATTCTAACAAGTTACTTATTATGACTATAAAAACACTCGTCTTATTTCCCATCTGATTGTATTTGATTGATAACACTCATATTATTATTTCTGAATGTACATTATCCCATATTGATTTTTATTCAAATGTCTAATCATCAATTTCACTCATGTATATAAATGAAGGAAAAAAGTTGTGTGAGTGAGTGACTTGATATGATTATGAGCAGTAATAGTTTGTGCTCGAAAGGTGGTCATCAGTTAATATTACTGTATAACAACACTGTGTGATTTATCAAAATAAAATCTTATCCATAATGAAGTTACACCTTAATCTCACTGATCAATCAATAAATCAATAAATATCATATTTGAATTGTACATATATGAACAGGATAAACATCAACGGAAACCACTGCATATATATTCTAACACACACACACCATCAACTTACCTGTGTATCAGTTAATTCATTAGACTCTACTAGAGTAGGATAAATGTCTAAGCATTCATTTAATATCATTTTAAGAATTTTTTCAATCTCTGAGCACAATGAATCAATATTATCCAAATGAATTGATTCTGCTTCAAGCATATAGAACTCGGCAAGATGATGTCTTGTATGCGAATTTTCAGCACGAAATGTTGGATTCAGTGTATACACCTTAGGATTTTTAAAGGAATACAAAAGAATATATATATATATATATATATATATATATATATAGTCAATAACTAGCATTTCCAAATACAATACAAGGAAAACGGTCTTACCTTAAACCCCTCCAAATGCCAAACAGTCAATTTCACCTTTAGGCATAAATCTGACCTAAACAAACTGGTGGTTAGCACTCACGAGGTGTGCAACATAGAGGTGGCAGTGAAATAGAAACCAAGTTGGAAATTAAATACCTAGGCGTCATTCTATCTGCTGATCTCTCCTGGTCGTCTCGTATCTTAGCGATTTCTAAGAAAATATTCCGTCTTACCTTCTACATCAAGAAGTTAAAACATTCCAGTATAGCCCAACTCTTACTCCTACAATTCGTTAATTCTCGCATTCTGCCTATTATTCTCTATTGTTCCCTCTTAGTTTTTCCAGGGCTACTGAAGAAAGACTATAACATATTACGCAGGATGTTAAAGGTTGACAGCAGGGTAAGCAACGTGCCACTTAACCAGCTTGTTAATATATTCTGGTCGACAGGCACATGGACTCATGTGAAAAATGGGCTAAATCCATTTTATCTAACTCACACCACCCTCTTCACTCACAACTCTCCCCTTCCATCTCATCAGGTAAAACCAGAAGCCTATAAAGAAAACTATATGTTTACACCAGCAAGTACAAAAACTCAACTATACCCTACTTAGCTCGTGTTCTGTGCGATAAAGAAAGCATTAGGCGTGACACCTATAAATCATTATATAGTCAGTAGTACAACTGGACCTCGTCTTTCCAACTCATATCATTTATAGGTACAACATTTTCTTTCTTTCTTTTCCTTTTCTCTCTCTCTCTCTTTTTCCGTTATGTGCTGCTTTGTTTCTTTCTCTCGCTTACGCCAGTAAATATGATAGCATCTACTTTTCTAACACCTTCAAACACTGTTCAGCTTTGCCTTTGCTACCGACATGCCAATATGTTGTTGTCATAATGAACTGAGATTTCCTTAATCTATGTAGAATTTTATTTTTATTGGTAATGTACAAACTGGATGCAACACTGTAGTAAAAATGCTGAGAATTCCATTCTGTATCACAAGTACTGTTTTGGAATAAAGCAAATTATTATATATATATATATATATTCAAATCAGGTTTCAGCGGTCCAATGAGGGCAGATTGTTTGCCAGCAGCTACACGGGAGGTCCAGGGTTCGTTTCTCAGCCAATGGACACTTTTACAATCTTGTCTAGTCTACTACTAGCCAACTATTCAACTTCATCATAGATGTATGTGCTAATGGACTTAACCCTAACTGCTGACTTCAGCGACTCAGGGAATAATCTCGTTGACTTAAAATATGCAGATGATATAGTCCTCCCTCCTAGGTGAAGATGCTGACAAAATCGAGCAGAGTCTTCTGAACACCTTGACAGGCAGCAATCTACGAATGTTTGGCATGCGATTCGCTCCTGCGTCAAATGTAAGATGATGTTACAGGATTGGACTACACCGACTCCTAGATTAGAAATAGGCAGGAGTGAAGTGGTGGAGCACGTTTACCACTTCACATGTTATTTGGGAAGTACCATCAGCCCGAACGGGTTGATCTCTGACGAAATCTCAGCACGGATACAAAGGGCTAGTTTCGCATATGCCAGTTTATGCCGTCTCTAGCGTAGACGTGATATCGAGCTATCGACCAAAGGGCGTGTGTACTGCTCAGCAGTCCGCTCCGTCCTCCTTTATAGCTGTGAGACCTGGCCATTGAGAGCGGAAGACATGAAAAGATTAGCTGTCTTCGATCATAGGTGTCTGCATTCTATCTCCCGTGTGAAGTGGTATAATAAAGTGAGCAATATTGAGGTTAGGCATCGAGTGCTAGGTAAGGAGGGGAAATCAATCGACGAGGCTGTGAAGATACATCGACTGAGATGGTTAGGACATGTGTTACGTATGCCTAGTCATCGCCTTCCTCGACCGACGGGCAATGTTAGCTGATATAGGGTCAGACTGGAAAAGAGCTAGCGGCGGTCAAACGAAAACATGGCACCAGTCAATGAAATCTACAACAGTTAGTCTAAACCACGTAGGAAGGTGTAGACTTCCTGATGCCTGGTTGGGGTCCTCGGGACGGTAAAAACCAATGGTTGGAAACAATTGGTGACATGGCTCAAAATCGTTCTCAATGACTGGAGCAGATGCATCCACTCCTTGTGACTTATAATATCCAATAAAACAACTATATAGTTCTTCCATATTATTATTATTATTCTTTTTGCCTCATATCTCTGTTTTGAATCTCTTTTTACTCTCTCCCACCTCTTGTTTTGTGTGGTACATGGAGGAAGTGTGGTGACTCGAATTGCTGTACATCTGTGCAAAGTTCTATGTTGAAACCAGTCAGTCAGTCAGTGAGTAGTCAGTCAGGCAGTTCCATTCAATGCAGCATATCGTATTTAACACAGTTAACTTTATTGCAATAGACAACACATACATGTGACATCTTTTTTATAGCGTGAAATGCAATGAAGCATTTGTGAGTATAATCATAGGGATGCAATAATCGATAAAATTAGTACGTAAATAATGTCGTCAGGTAACAAACAGTTTGAGAAATTTGTTAAAAAACAGAGAGTTAAACACATTGCAAAAAAGGTAGTGATAGATTGTTTTTGGCAGAAACTAGTCTAGAAAACAGAAGCGGCATTTTGATAAGTTTTTCACCAGTTGTAAACTTAACAGCACCACAATTGTCAAATAAATATGTCGTGATAGAAAAGAAAACACAACGAATATACCTTGTAGAATAATACATGCCATTAACAACTTTGCCACTTCATTATTATTATTATTATTATTGTTTCCTTTAATTCCTAGAGGAACATAGGACTTCAGCCACGCATGTCTCCATCACGTTCGGTTCTCTGCTAGAGTCTTCACCTGGCTCCAAGTATGCCCACACGTTTTCATCTCCTCTTCACATGACCTCCTCCAAGTCACCCTTGCACTGACGACCAACTCGCCGCCGCTTCCCTTTCGGCCGTGTTCCACTCGAGCAATGGCTTGTCTAGTGATGCCACTTGATGGTTCGTTATCTCAGAGTATGACCAGCCAATCCATCTCCATTTCTTCCTGCCTATTTGTTTCACAATCGGTTCCTGCTGGGTTGGTTT